ATATCGCGCGCCACTGAGATTTTGTATAGGCTCAAATGGGTCGCATCCAGATCGCCGGACGTAATTATTTGTTTCGAGTATTTTAGCGGAAATATGAACATTACTTTGTTGAAATGTTGTTTTATAACACTAGAGATTTAATTACGGAAATATTTCGTGAAATACAACTGCAACGAAATTTAATTTTCAACTGCAGACATGTAATCTGTCAGATTATACTATTTGGACATTCCAATTTGTTTTGTTGGCAATAAATCTTTATCAAACCTTTTATGTTTATTCCACTTTTGTTCTTTATATTTGCTGATTTTAATAAACAACTTTTATTGGCCAATTATTTGGAAAAAATCTATTAAATTTTTAACAAACTTTATATTTCTTTTACTTTTGTTTTTTACTTTACTTGAATTAAAAAGTGGTAATCCGAAAAAAGCATTTATAATCAAATGTAACGTTTTAATTTTAACTATGTGTACAACTTAAATTTATTCTAAAATGTTTCTGTAACATGTTGAGTCTGCAAAAAAAAAATATGGAATTGTTATATATAATATTAAAACACGAATCACACACAGTGTCAAAATTGTAAAAGAAAGATATTTGAGAAATATTTTACGGAAGCTTGACCGAAGAGGATAATCCTCGTGTCCGCAGTAAGAAGCTTATAGCGATTGGTACTGTGAAAAATCTTTTCTAACTTTGAAAAATCGTACGTAGTATTCTGTCGCGCGATACGTGTACGAAAACATTTATAAAAGAGGGCAGTTTACACCACTGTTCAACGACCTTACGGTAATCGAAGAAGGATTCATCCCGAGGACAGTAACAGAAAGAACGCTGAAGGAGGAAATTGAAAAATAGAGTCTTAACTGAATCCAACTATCTGTTACCTATCCCAATGCATCGCGCTAAGAAAAAAGTTGACTACTCCATCCGTGAGGCGAGGGTGGAGCGGTAACAGAAAAGGGTGAAGAGAACACGAATTGGTCGGAAACTCCAATTCGATTTCGCCTTTGTTCTATCTTTTCTCACGTTGGTTCGTATACCGAATAGAAGCGCTATATGACGATGCCGAAACGATAGCATTGAAGTCTGTTTTTGCTACAGGAAACTTACTCGTGCCTTTCAACACATATCGCTCGCGAGGAGTGCCGTGTTAGTACAGTTTCATGAAGTTGTTAAGCTAATTAAGATGAGTAATAAGTAAAATGAATAAAAAATTTGTTGAAAAAATATGGTAGAGAACACAAATTCTATTTTTACTATTTACTTTTATTTTTTTAGTTTTGTTTTTGAAGGTTTTTTTATCATAACTTTGTGTATTTACAAACTGCTGAAACTAATTAGGATTAATATAGAAAAATAATGCAATAAATTAAACGCATTATCTTTCACACAAATTAAATAAAATGATTAAAAGAAAAACAATATAGTGATACTGTACGTGAGAAATG